AAAGGAAATTCCACCAAAATGGAAGAAAAACACTTTTTCACTTTGAGGGTGGCTGAACACTGGAACCAGCTGTCCAAGGAGATTGTGGAGCCTCCATCTGCAGAGATACCTAATCCCAGCTGGACACGGCAATGGCTCCAGGTGACCCTGCTTTGGGCAGAGGTTGGACAAGGTGGTGTATGGAGGTTCCTCCAGCCTCAGAAACCCTGTGGCTCTGAGCTGCACCCTATCACATAGGACACCAGTAAGATGTAGTGCACGGGCAGCCTCTTCAGGACTAAGGAGCTAGCACCTTCCCAAAAGGCAGACATAAGTTTCTTGCCCTGTGGGCTGTGACCTGTAAAATGAAGAGGCTCGTAGAACGAGGCTGCTGCTGGCTCATGTAGTGCAAAAGGATTTTGTCACCAAGCTGCGCAAAGTGATGTGATCTACAGGAGTAGGACTGAGTCTGTGAGCAAAATACCCTCAGGTCTGCCATAAGAGGCTGGCTTCATCCCACTGGAGCTGACATCAGATACATTCAGGGAAGCACACATTCCCTTAACCTTCCCCAGATAATGTTGTCACAAGCTTTTGCCACTGAGCTGTGATTTTCCAAGACAGAGTGCATTTACTGGGCAGGTACTGAGAACGCTTTGTGCCTGTGAGTGGAGCTAGTGGCTCACGAGTGGTGATGAGCCAAGGCACTCAAGGAAAGGGGTTCTGAACAGTTATAGCAGACTTTGGAATCTCAAGCCACACAGCTAAGGACACAGTTCATAGGTTCTCTGTGCATCTGTTGCCTGAAAAATCCATTTGTGCCTGGTGTGATGTAAAACAATTCGGCACACTCACTAGAGATACTGTTAATTCAGGCCTGGGTGCTCAGTGGACTGTTCCACAAGTCAAACACACCAATGCAGCCTTCTCATTACGTTTATACACAAAACGTACAGGTAGTACAGTCCCAGTGACAGTGATTGGTTGTAATTTACATATAATTGTAATACTTGATGTCTCATTCCTGGCAGTGGGCTCTCACAGCCCAGAGAGGCAACCGTATCATGGGCTGCACCAAAAGGAGCAAGACTAGCAGGTCGAAGCAGGTGATCCTGCCCCTCTACTCTCTCTGACACTCACCTCTGTCTGTCACCACAGTGATGATTCCATACCTTTGTACAGAAGTAAGGCTATAATATATAATGCTGTTACCACCGCATCACCAATCAGCCAGGTGTCTAGTAATCTAGGTAAGCAAGGTGGGGCAGGAACTGCATAAATCAGCATTTAGGCATGGATTTTTCCCTTTTCATTGTTTTTTGGTTTGGTGGTGTTGGTATTTTTGTGCCAGTGCCCTTACAGTTGGGTCAGTGATGATTGCCACCACTTCTGCTGGGAGAGTGTGTTTCTGGTCCTAGATTCTGTTTTGCTGTGGTCACTCGACCTGGTCCTTGACAAGATATGTAGACTATCTTATTGATATAAGATTCCTCAGACACGTTGATGAAAATTCCTTTGATGCTGTTGAGAAAATTGTAGTACATGTTTACAGTAATCAGATTATTGTGCTATAAGTTAGGAATTCAAATAGAAGTAGAAAAGCATGCAGCATGGAGGGGTTTTTAGAGTTAATGTAATAGTCATTCAATTTAGATTATATCAGATTAGGTGTGTGGCAGTAACTTTATTCAATGCCCCTTCTTTTTCTATGGGGTTGCATCACCTGTGGGGTCTCTAGGCTGAGCTGGTTGCCAGCGCTTCATAGAAAAGGGTTGCCACCCCTAACCTGCAGTTGATGCTACAGGTATTGGGTAGTGGTTTAGGATGAAAGTTTCCACCTCAGAGCTGCCAGCGACTCCTTTGGGAGCCGTCCAAAGGCCAGAGATAAGCAGAGTAAAGTCTGTTTCAGTGCTAAACAGACTTTGCTTGTTAATACACAGACTTAAATTTGCTGGAGACCTGATCTGATTCTACTCTATGATCACAAAATGAACACAGGTATATGAGTGGGACACACATACACACCAAAAGAAGACATGAGCTTTTATAGGAAGTGGGATAAAACAGATGTATTATCTCTCGGCAAAAGCAGAGTCATACCAGTAAAGAAAACACATCTGTGGACAGAGGGCAAGTGGATTTTAATGTCCCAGAATATCTATCCAGGATTCCTTCTGGTACTACACAGCAGGTGCTCCATAGGCTTGTGCCGCATGAGACGGGGACATGTGCAGCACACCACACCCCCCTGGGTTTGTGTTTAGAAAGATGACAATCTGCAGGCAGAGGCTCAAACCTTATGACTCTGTTTGGCAGCTGCAGTGTGACCAATATGACCATGGGGCAGAGCCTGACTGGATAACCATGGTTCACTGTGCCAGCTCTGTTGGGAAAACAAAGGGTCTATGCACTATGTGGCTTCTTCCTCATCATTGCCCTGGGAGGTAAAAGCCTTCATTACCTAATGGAAGCTTTAACAAGAGGGCTGGAGAGAGCCAGAGTGCACACCCATCTGATCTTAATGGGAACTTTATGGTAAACTCGGAGGCCAGTGATTTGAGTGTTTTTCTCTGATACGAATCACCAGTGCTGTATGAGGTATCCACTTCTATAAGGAAACTGTACTGGTGGGATTTTCCTTTATCATGATGCATGCCTGCTCCGCCCATCATTATGCTGTCAGATTATGCCAGTAGTTTTATTTTTTAAATAATTGCTTGAAAGTTTATTTTATTGAGCTGGGTTATCATTAGAGCTGACATCTTACCTCCCTCCCTGATCACATGAGGACTTGTGTCAGGAGTATATGCTCTTCAGTATGACATATCCACACCAATCTTACGGCACAGTGGCTGCAAGGGTTTTCCTTTTCCCTTTCCTCTGTCCTCCTCTGCTCATCCAGGTGAATGTGGTGAAGTCGTTGTTGAATATGGAGTGACACACATCACTTGTAAGAGAAGCAGAAATACGTTTATTGATGTAACTCTTGTAAAAAATTGCTAGTAAATGTGGCAGTGGTTTAACAAGATTCAATGGCAAGGTACACTTGAGTATTTACTGCATAGAGGACAGGGTCAGATTGTCAGGGAGACCCTCTCCTTGCATCATAACGTTCCGAAAGGGCCCCCTTGCATTCTAAACTCCTTCTCAGAGAGGAGTCTAGGTGCAGCGGGATCAAGACTTCACACTTGGTCAATGGTTTATGTCTAAAGGGTTGTATATGTAGAGTCAATCCTTTCCATCACTTAGCTAAGACTTCAGAGTTTAGCATACTGCTAATCACTTACTGAGGCTCTCTTGCAGCAAGGACTCTCTCAACCTTGAGGAGTAACCTTGAGAGGCATCCCTAGTCAAGGGGAGATCCTGGACTGCAGCCTGCTGTCATGCAGGATAGCCCATGGGCTCTGTGCTGCCCATCAGCTATGGAGTGAGATAACTGACTCATAGTCATGTTTGCATACCGACTACAGAAACTTGGACCTTGACCAGAACTACAGGGGGTGGGGGATGTGGGAGCACACTGAAGAGATTATCCTTGTGTTGTTATTTGTCTCCCCAGAACTGAGTTGCAGCTATCACGACCAGACCAAATGCATCCATTACCAGCACCACTGATGGTTATTACTGGTGCAGAATTACAAGAAATAAAGGTCGAGGGTGCTGGGGCGGGGGGGGGGGAAACGTACCATCACAATAACTCGTTTGGAAGAACCTGTTTGTGACTCCAGAGCCAGTGCACTGTGTGCTGTGGCAATGTCTGAACACTTCATCTGTTCCTCCAGTGGCACCAGTAGGAGTGAAATGGAGACCTCCAGAGAGGACATATTTACAAAACAAAACACACTATGCAAAAATGTGGTTTTGTCAACATAATACACTGCACACCTGCTGTTGGTAATCATCCTTAGTGTATGTATACGATCTTGAACATGAGACAATAAGAAATTTGTAAGAGAAAACCAGGTCCTGGTCCCATTTGAAAAGATCAAAGAACATCCAGGATTGACTGTACCAAGGATAACTTGTTTGACAGCTTGGCCAAGTCACCATTCGATTACATAACTTGGGAAACGAACTAACTTTCAAGGTGTCGTAAAGGGAACTGCCTTCATTATAATACTAAAAGTCAGATCCACAGCTCAGAAAGACCCCGGCCCAGGTGTAGACCCTTCCACGGAGCACGTACAGTGATTAGAAAGAACGACACATCAAATATTACAATTATATATAGATTAAAACCGATTACTGTCACTGGGACCGTACTACCTGTACCTTTTGTGTATACACATAACAAAAAACCTGCATTGATGTGATTGACTTGTGGAACAGTCCACTGAGCACCCAGCCTGAATAAAGAGTATCTCTCCTGAGTGTGTTGAATTGCTTTACTGCACACCAGGCATGAATCTGCTTTTTGGACCACAGTGGTATAGGCTCTGCAATCATCCCAGATAGACGAAGTCTTTTCCAAATAAAAAGAAAGATTTACATTTCAGGGCATAAGGCTCAATTTTCTCCTCAGGAAAAAAAAGGGAAGACCTACATTTTGGGAAGAGAGAATGGGGCCACTCCTTTTGGGCAAGCCAAAATGTGTTTTACTGGCCTGGAGATGCCTCTTCTAGATGAGGCGTCCTCTTCTATTCAGCATCTGACAGTTAACAGCTCCTGATGAACAGGAGTGTCCTGATGAGCACAGATGCCAGTTAGAAAAACTCTTGATTAATTTCCTGCATGTATTTTCAGTCGCTATTTAGTAAATCATAGAATCACGGCATCCCAGAATAGTTAGGGTTGGAAAGGATCTGGTGACCTGGCCAAGCTGTCAAATAACTCAGCCTTTGGTGCTACCGATCCCGGACATTCACCTTGGATCCTTCAAACACAGCAAAGATTGGTTGTTCCTTTTTGTTTTAAGAGGGGCGCTTTGTCCCAGGCCCAAGCTACGATAACTATGAACTATGGCTACCAATTGCAGGTGCACAGTGTAACAAACAAGCAATAGATCTTAAGTGGATAGAAAAGAGATTTCAATAGAAAATATCATAAAAATTTTCTTTCAAAAATTATGTTGACATAATAAAAAGTGTCAACGGAAAACAATCTGTTGCTGTTTCCTTGCACTTGGAGGAAGAATCTCCTAGGAAGCTCTTTCACTTCAGTGCCCTGGATCAGAGCAGCTGGCTAGGGATCCTCCTCCTCCTCCCTGCCCTCCGGAGGCAGCGCCACAGTGCCGGCAGGAAGGAACTGGCAGAAGGTTCTTCACAGGCATCATACAGCATCTGCTTCATTTCAAACGCCAGGGAAGAGACCAAGGGGCTGCTGTCACTCTCCATGTTTTGAAGGGCTGGGATGGAAAGGAACAGAGCCACGGTCACATCCCAGATCTGCAGGGGATCTGAAGAGTCCCTCCAGCCAGGGCAGGGCCACTCCCGCCCCACAGCAATTCCCACAGCCAGGAGGGAGGCGGGGTAGCAGGATTAGATGGAAGGTGTTGCCCACCAATGTCCCACATGCTCCTCAAATCTCTCTACTCTGCCCACGCCACCCCTCACCCACAGAGAGAGCAGAGCCCTCCTAGGCCAAGCCAGGGATTATAGCTCCCTACCCAGGGCCTTTCCTCCTACCCACAGGCACCCCACTGCTTTCACTCACCCTCATTGATGACCAGGATCTTCTCCTTGCACCCATCCTTCAGCTGCAGCCCAGCGAGCCCTAGGCACACACAGCCCGTCACAGATCCTGCTGAGCTGACCATCCCAGCAGCCCAGTTCACCCCCACTGGCCCGCTGGCCAAGGCTGAGCCCAGGGTAGCTCCTGGAGCTTGAAGCGGTCATGAGGGACCCAGCCCCACATCAATCAGATCGGGCAGTTGGGGCTCTGCAGCTCCCCGGTGGATTTGGCAGTAGCCATGGCTGGGGTTAAGCTGCTGAGGTACAGTGAGGGACCCCCAGGCAGGTTGCAGCTCACCAATGAACCTGACAGCCACCTCACGCAAGGGCTCCTGTGGGCTCTGCAGGTACAGCAGGCTCTGGTGCAGGTACTCCTCCAATCTGCTTCTGCTTCTCTTCAGCTAGAGCGAGCACACGGGGATGGAGTTGACACAGACCCTCCGCCCGCACCCAGGCCTGGCCTCTCCTGACAGGACACCCACAATGCCCAGCCAGCAGCTACCTGGTGCCAGGGTTCAGAGGGAGCAGAGGGCAGCGTGCTCCCTGGCCAGGGTGCTGCAGTGCCACTCTGCCACCAAAGGCCAGTGGGGCACCCCTGGACGTTGAGGGGCGGGGGAATGGGACCCTTGTGCGCTGCAGGCAGGAGCACAGGGCTGCCATAGAGGGCAGGGGGAAAGCTGCTAGCCCCATGTGCTGGGGACTGGGGGAGAGAGGCTTCTCCAGGCTGGCTTGCAGGGCTTTGGGGACTTCCTTACCATGCACTTGCCAGCCCTCCATATCTGCTCTGTCTGCAGCAACTGCTGGAGCTGCTGCCACCTCAGGAACTTGGCAGCTTGAACGACAGCTTCCTTGGAGGCCTTCAAAGCAGCAGGAAGAAGGAGATGGCACCTCTACCCAGGAAAGAGGACCTGGAGGTCCCTGGGCAGAGCACGGGGGTAGCGAGGGCCGGGGTCAAAACCTGGCCTTAGGCACCTGCAGGTGCCACTGGAAAGCCCACAGGGCCTCCAGTGCTCAGGTCTTTGTGGCCAGCACTGCTGCTGGGCGATGCTGGATCTGGCAGGGCGGGTGTAGGGTATGTCCCTACCCACGTTCACAGGGGCTGCCAGCTCTGCGGCTGCAGCCAGGAAGGGGCTCTCAGCCCCCATCAGGGCTCCAGCTGAAGCACATTCAAAGAGCTCAGAAATGCCCACCTGAGCCACACTTGAGTCACGGTCATGCAGGTGGAAGAAAAAGGGCAGGAGGCTTCTCTGCACATCCTTCCTCATCTGCTTTTTGTGAGACTTGAACGGAAGCCTCATCACATCTCTGCTGAGGAGGATGGACTGCTTTCGCACGCAGCTGCTCGCCTAGGACGAGAGAAGTAAGAGGAGAGGACCTCAGCCCTCGCTCCTCCAAGCCACTGAAGTGAGAAGAACCACCGCTCACAGGCCAGTGAGCATACACGGAGAGGGATGCGCTATCCCTGAGCCACCCAAGGGGCTCTCTTGCTGCCTTACATTTTCAAAGAGTGGCAGGAGCATTTCGAGCAGCTGCAGAGCAATGGGGCCAGCCGTCTGCCTGTCTGCCACGCAGAGCACGTTGCTGAGGACAGTCAGGGCTGCCTTCACGATGTCGCAGTCATCATCTTGCAGTTGCTGCACAACGGCTGGCAGCAGGCCTTCCAGAGACATAGCCTTTGCCTGTGTGAAACACGCTTTTTTGGTGACACAGTCAAGGAGGACAGCACCTGCAAAACCACTCCATCTCTGGGCAGAGATCTCTCCGTGCGCAGCACAGCCCAATGCCCTGCCTTACGTGTTCAGGGGCTGAGGGGCTGCTGAACAGGACAGTGAGGGCAGTGGGCACGGTTCTCACCACTCCTCATTCCTGGCACAGCCCAAGCGCGCCGCTGCTCACACCACCACCTGCTGCCCAGGCCCGGGCACATGCCCTCACTCAGCCTGGCTGCCCCTGCTCACCTGCTCAGGTTTCTCAGACAGCATGGCGAGGCTTGTGACCGCTACCTTGCACAGCACCGAACTCTTGCTACACAGATGCATGTGGAGGACATGCAGGACGAGGCTATCGGCAGTCTTAAACCTGCTGCAGTCCAGGAGCTGAAACACACCCGGAGCAGAGTAAGAGCCCAGCACAGCAGCAGAGCTCAGGGAAGGCTCAGGGCAAGGCACCAGAGCTGGGCAGCGCTCCGATGGGAGGCAGTGGAACCCTTGCCACCTCCCCTCTGCCTCATGCATGCAGCCCCGCTTCCCCCTGCCTGCTCTTGGAGAGGAAACACTTGCCACCAGGCCCACCTCAGTGAAGACAACAATGGCACAGATGTCCTCATAGGATTGTATGGTTCCAACCGCCTCTTCACATATGGAGGCACAGCAGACCCGTTCTTTATGCTTCAGCACTCTAGCAGGGGGAAGAAGACATTGGCAGCACCGAGACAGGCAAAGCTCTCTAGGACCATGGTGTCAGCCCCAGCCCCACAGGTCAAGGCTCCATCTGCACCTTGTGCTGGCTGCTTGCGCCCCACCACCTGTGCTAAAGAGGGTCATGCAGGGGACCCTTTCTCTCGGGGGGGGAAAAACCGGCAGATGCAAGGATGACTGACAAAGCTCGTACCTACTCAGCACCCTGATTCCAGTGGGGTAGTCGCAGGGGCTCATGAGCATGTCCCAGGCAGCCTTCCCTTTGATGTCTTCAACCAGGGAGTCACCACCCAGAAAATGGAAGAAAGCTTGCATGGTCCTCACCATGCACCTACACACAGAGCAAAGCATGGTCACATGTGGAAGCCTGGCCCTGGCTCTGGCCCAGGGCAGACACCAGGGAGGAGAAACAGAGCACCTGCGACGGTTGACTACACGATCCTCAGCCTCCTTTTTCCAGATCTCAAAGCAGCAGCAGCCCTCCTTTGGTCTCTTCATGGTGAAGGAGATCTGCAAGACCACTGCCATGAAGAGCTCCTCTAAAAGTTTCCTTATGTTGCTTTGGTTGGCGGGCACCAGGAAGACCATGCGCATGACTATAGCTACCTGCAGAAAAAACCCAGGGACACTCTCGCTGCAGAGATGTCCCTGCAGCAGGCCTAGGGCTGGGAGGTTCAGGAGCTGCGCTGAGCTGAGGGAGATGCCAGGATAGAGTCCAGCCAGCTGCATGGCCTGCAGCTCACCTGCGGCGGCATTCAGGGCTTGGTGCCCGTTTGTAGCATGGGCACATAAGCTTTGATGGTCCTGAGGGAAGAGCTCAGCCAGCCCCGTGGGCCATGCTGGCTATGCTGCACTCACCTTCTCCAGCCCCACAGCCTGCTCTGCCCTTCAGGCTTCCTGGCTGCCCAAATGGCAGGAGGTGGGGAGGGAGGAGGACCCCCAAGGGCAGCAGGGGCAGGCTGTGTGCCAGTCTGCCGCGGGGCCGAGCAGCATGTACTGCCTTGCCTGGCTGTAGCCCTGAAGCCCCCAGTGACCTTTTGGAGCTCCAGGTCTGGGAGCAGATGGAGAGGGGAGGAGGAGCTGGAGAGGGGTGCGCAGCCCCGGGCAGGGAGGACCAGGCCTCATCCGGACACTCACGGTCAGCAGTAAGTGGCAGTTGCATTTTGTGCCGAAGGTGTTGTGCGCCATGTTCGTGTGCTGGATCAGCAGCAGCGACTTCAGTATTGCGCCCGAAACGCTGGGCTCACATACCAGCGTGTTCCACATGGCCTCGGTAGTGGCGTGATGACAGAGCTGAGCGTCAGTGGGGCCATCTTGGCCATAACAAGTTTTGTCTGGGCAGTTCCCAGAGGTCCTAGGATTCCCCTGAAGCTGAAGGGACGTGTCTATGTCCCCAGTGATGGAAATACGCAGCAGGCTAGTGGTCACATCCCAAGAGTGCAGCTGGGCCATTTGGAGGAGGGTCTGCATCAGCATGTCCCGCAGCGACCTTCTGGTGACAAGCATCAGCTGCCTGTAGATGATCTGCACGAGGTCGTCCACCTGGCGGAGGCAGGAGTGTGGAGCTGGGTGGAGTGCAGCCACGGCCCCTGCTGCCATCGAGAACTACTCCTCTCCTGTCACTCCTTGCCAGCCTCAAAGGCCACCAGACATGTGCCCTGAGGGCACACGCACGGGGCAGTCCAGCTGCACGCTGCTTACCTTGGTCAGCTTCAGGCATGACTGTGACAAGACTAGCTTCAGCGTGTTGGCAATCACCTGCATGTTCGAGACTCTTTCTTGTGCCACGTTCCTCAAGACTATGAGGACTAAGTGGTACCTCTCATGCGGGAGTAAGAAGCTCCCGGCTGCCTAAGGGAGAAAGAGAGGGAAGAGTTGTCACCCTGAGGGCCCTGATGGCAGAGCAGAGCTAAGCAGCCAGGTTGGCTCTGGGCTGCCCCCCCCCAGGACAAGTGCCACCACTGGGGGCTGCTCTGGGGTGACTGCAGCCACGGGAGCATGTGTGAGAGACTGAACTGAAATCAGGCTCCACCGTTCATTGCCTCAAAGACTGGTGTGAGGAACTGAGGTCCACTGTCTCAAAGACTGCTGTCCATTATCTCAAGGACTGCTGACAGACATGTGCAGAGAGCTGGCTGCAAGAACAGCGAAACTGGATGCACAGTGGTGACTATCTCTCTGCACTCTGAATGCTTGCTTAGTTTCTGTCCTGTTTTCTGAACTGTCCAATCACTATACATTTTACAATAATCTTTTTTAAATAGCTATATTTTTATACTAAACAAACTGACCAACTGTGGCGCTTGACCTCGTTTGCATCTCAATTTCGCTCTGGCAATTACAAAAAAAGTATTTCTGACACGAGGTTTTAGCCAGTCAGACCTTCAGAGCGTGTAGAGGGAGCTGCCCTGTGGGCTGAAGGAGACGGGTGAGCTGAGCCATGGGCAAGAGCTACAGTGTGCTGGCTCTGCCAGGAACCAGAGCTTGCCAGTGGCCAGGATGGCCAGAGCTGCTCCACTGACACTGGGTTAAAGCCTCTGCCGACTCCCTTGTGGAGCATGGGAGGCCATGCCATCCACCACAATAGCCGAGGCACTGGTTCATGGGAGTGTCCTGCTAGCCCCACAGCCAAGACCCCCAGCAAGAGAGGAGAAGGTCATTACCACTATTTCATCACTGAGCTCCATAGGCCACGAGGTGTTAGTGCCTTCCTGCTCCAGAGGGATCTGTGCATCCTCATATTTTGCAGAGCAGCCTGGGCAGGAGGCGAAACACAGAGTGAACAATGGCAGGAACAACAGAGAGCTGGAGGCAGCAGGTGGGGGTGTCAGGGAGAGCTGTGCTTGGCTCTCCTTTCCATGGGAGCTGGAGACGTGCCAGGGCGGTAGTGGGCCCATTTCCCAGGGGAGGAGAGGAAACTGCCTCTTAGGCTGTGGCAGGGCAGGAGAGTTCGGTCTGGCTTTCTGCTCAGGAGGAGGACAGAAGCCCAGGCATGCTGCAGCCACCAGCTCTCCAGCTCAAGGGTTCTCGGGACAGGCCCCAAGCTGCTGCTCCGCAGCAGGCTGTGCGTCCTACGGTTTGCACAGCTGCTGCCCTGCTCCAGCCTCGGGGGCATTTGCTGCTCCTTCCTCTAGCAGAGGAGGGGGCTAGGGCAGTGTGGCACCTTGCCTGGGCCCTTGCAGCTGGAAAGCTCCAGCCTGCCTCAGTGTCTCTTACTCTGTCGCACCAGAAGAAACCTCTTGAAGTTACACAGCGCCTGGAAAGCCCTGCAGCTGATCTCCTGGTCCTCCTCAGCACAGGACAGGGCAAGGTACCCTATTGCCTGCCCTAGGAATTCCAGAGGCTTGCTTCTGGAGAAGCACTGCATGCTGTGTCTTTCATTCAAGTGCTGTGGGAGAGAGGAAACGGCAGTAGCAGGGTCAAGCTGTGGCAGATGGGATGAAAGCCTTCACCTCGAAGAGCAGCCTCCAGGCCGAGGGCCACGTGAGCAGCAGCTCTGGAGAGCTCTGCCCTGTGCTGCACTGCGTGGAGACCCAGTTCATGGCGGTCAAGCCAGGGCAAGGACTGTGCTGTCTCCCTACGAAGGGAACTCTAGAACGTTCTGCCGCCTTGCCCTGGGAGCCCCTGGGACAGGGGTAGGTGTCTGAAAGAAGACTGAGACCCTGGATCTGCTGCTCCTCCAGAGCCACAGTCAGCTGACAGAGCCCTCCTTCACCACCTGCAGGACTCCCCACTTCCAGGGGAGGGAGGGCTGCCAGAGCTGCATCTGCAAAATGCTGTCATGCCCAGGGACAGCACTGGCTCCTGAGAGAGAAGGCACAAGACAGAGGGCAGTTCCCAGAAAGAGGACCAAAGATGCTGGTGCAAGGTTGAGCCTTGCCGAATCCCCTACTGCCCTGCACCCAGGCTTCCCTTGCAGGGGGCCCAGAGTGATCAGCTACTCTGTGGCACCAGGAAGGGGCAAGTGGTAGCCCTAAGTCACCTTCATCACAGGCTCCTTACCTGCAGCATTGAAGAGGGCGATAAATAGTTGGTGAGGCGTACAGTCCACTCTACAGACTTCCGGCGCTTAGCCGTGTCCTCGGATGCCGTGATGGGCAGCAGAGCCTGAGAAGGGAAAAGCTGCAGGTCTGCTGTGGGGAACAACAGTGACTCCCAGAGCAGTGGTTCTGCCAAGCATCTTGGGCTGTTTATGCAATGTACTGCCAAGGCTTCCCATGGTCCAGAGTAAGACCTGGAATGGGTTCCATCCATGTTGTAATCTGGGGACCACTGCCAGCTGTTGGTGACCTGCTGCAGTCAAGGAATTTGCCAGATCCCATCCCCAAGGCACCTCTGCCCCCTTCCACATGCAGCTCCAAAAAGGCCTCCTCTCCAAGAGGACCAGAACCTCTGGCAGGGGCTGCACAAGGGAGGCCAGGCCCACGAGGAGGCCAGAAGAGGAGACCTTCAGGGCTGGACTCCCATTGCACTATGCACCTTGTACCCCAGCTGTATCCTAGGGCATCCCCACCCTGCTGGCAAATGGGGAGGAGAAAGTGAACGGGACAGACCGTGAGGGCAGTGGCTCAGCAGTGCCAGAAATTCCTTTCACCCCTTGGCCTGGGGGCTGGGGTGCACATGCTTTAGAAGGTCTCATCACTTTAGGCTAAGGCAAGGAAGACACCCCATGAGCTCTGCTCTTGGTAAACGCCTGACCTGCAATATTTTCTCTGTTATGAAGATGCAGGATCTCTGTGAAGCACCACATATCAGCACCTCCAGCACGCTGTCCAGAGTTTTCAGGATCTATAAGGAGAGACGCAGACAGACACAGATACACATAGATACAGCAGGTTACATGCTTGTCCTGGCCCTCCTTCCTTGCAGACAGCTTGCTTGCCTGCCTGCCTTCCACCTGAGGGGGGGGGCCTCAGCTGCCCTCTGATGCCCAGGGGAGGCCTCAGGGTCTCCCTGGCCTTCCTTCTCCTGTTGGCTTCCAGCAGCCAAAGTCAATGAGAAGGCCATGCAGAAGGACAGGCTGTCAGGCTCTCTGTAGCTCAGCCCGCATTTACCTGATCATAGAATGGAGTACGCTGGCTAATCGTCTCACTTGCAACAAGACTGAAGGTGCCACCTATGTGTTTGTAGAGGTGGTTGTCCAGCAGGTTTTCCCTGTATTCACTGTAAGGAGAGAAGGTGCCAGCTGGATGCAAAGGCTTCTACGCTGGGGAAGGTGGCCACAAAGACTATGACTAGCAGTCCCCAGGGTTGGACCTGCACAAGGTACGCAAGGCATCTCCTCCCTCCCCCATTCTGCTGAGTCAGGGACAGAGGGCAGCCCTGGCCAGTGGACCCTGAAGCCCTTTCCATCTCCTGCCTCTTCCTTCAGAGGAAAAGCCAAGCAGCATCGGGGAGCCCTGGAGCACCCACCGCCATCCTGCCTGACCCACTGACGGGCGGAGAGGTGGGAGAGCAGAGGCCCAACGGCCACGCCACCAGGACAGGAAATGCCTGGTGCTACCAGGCCCATGGGAGGCTGTGGCCTGGCCAGGCTCTGGGACAGGTACCTCAGTGCAGCGGTGGCAAGCAGGGCTTGCTGCCACATCATGGTGTCCGTGCTGTCAAAGGCCTCCTTTTGCATTAGTGCCTGGAGAGGAAAAGCATGGCTGGGATGGGCCACAGCAGCTGCCAGTGCCTGCCACCAGTCTGCCAGTCGGCAGAGTGGGCAGAGTCTGCAGGTCAGTGCCAGGACCCACAGCAGCCCCTTGCTCTGCAGTGGCCCCACTGGCAGGAAGTGCTGTTCCCACAAGGCCCGTCCCACTCTCCCGCTGTGCCCAGATGCCTGAGTGCTGTCCTTATCACCGGTCCCATGCTTGGCCATCTTTGCTCCCTTCCCTTAGCCCCACTGGGGGGGGCTCCTCACCTCCAGTTTCTTCAGCAGCTCATGGGATGTTGGGCTTTGGTACCTTCCCTGCAGTGAGGCTCTGCAGAGCAGGCTGATGGAGGCCAGAAACTTCATCTTCGACTCCTGATCCTGTCAGTCCAGAAGAAGAGAGACAGAGAAGAAGGGTGAGGGGGCAGAGGCACAGCCAGCAGGAGGGGAGGCTTGAGGGGCTGCAGCTATGCTGCAGGGGGCCAGGAGGGGAACAGCTCTGCACTGCCAGCAGCCCTCGAGCAGCCTGTGTGTAGGCAGCACATGTGGCAGCACCCAACTGGGAGCTGCTGGCACAGCTTTGCTGACAAATTCTGCCATTACTCTTCTGGTGCTTTTGACAAAGTCCACGATGTACTCCTGGGCTTCCTCTTCCTCATTCTGCAACTGGATGCTAGAGTCAGCAGCAGGTACACCTGAGGAAGAGCAAGAATGGGGAGAGCTGCAGGCAGGGGTAGGAGGTAGAGGGGAGAGAGGGGTCCTCTCCCCAGCCGTGCACTGGCTGCTGTGCCCACAGCACACCCTGGGCCAGGGTGCTGATGCCCTGTCCATCTCCTCCAGGATGCTGCCAGGAGCAGGGCGAGAAAGGTGCCAGCCCTGCAGCACCGCTGCCTCCTGCCCATGCACTTGCTTCTCCCTGCCCTGTTCTGTGCCCCAAGGTCATTCCCTGGGGACCTGTTGATACCTACTCAGGTAATGCATGGTGACACTCTGAGATTCCTTCGTGGGCATTGCCTGGGTCTTTCTGACTGCTGATGGTCACCATCGGCTGCCCCAGCAGGGGCTCCTGCATGAGCTGCTTGGCTCTTCTCAGAGTCCTGGATACTGTGGGGCTGGGCACACTACTTGCCGTGAGGGCCCCACTGTTACCCACCACCCAGGCCAGGAGGGAATGTACCTTGGCCTGCATTGTGACCTACGTGCCACAGGGCCCATTGTGACCTATGTGCCACAGCAGCATTGCTGCCCTGCCTGGCTGTTGCCGTGAACTCAAGTAACCAAGAAACCACATTTTCTTCCACCTTATTTCTTCTTTTCATTAACAGCTAGAATTTCACTGAATGGTTCAGGTTGGAAAGGAACTTAACATCATCCAGTTCCTCAGAGGAGGCTGAGGGAAAGACATTCATTCAGCCTGTAGAGAAGAAAGCTTCAGTGCAGACCTCACAGCAGCCTTTTACTGCCTACAGGAGGACATGAAGACAGAGCCAGTTTCTTCACAGCAGTGCATGGTGGGATAATGACAGACAAGAGGCATCAAGAGACATTCAGACTGGAAAGAAGGAAAAGCCTTTCTCCTCCTAAGGCCAGCAAAGAGACGAACAGGTTGCCCAGAAAGATGGCGCTGTCTCATGCCAGGAAGGTGTGACTGGACAAAGCCCCAAGAAGCTTGGTCTGATGCTGCTTTGAGCACGAAGTTCAAGCAGAAGCCTCTAGAAGTCAATTCCCACCCAATATCACACGATCCTGTGAGTAGGCCAACTCCTACAAAAAGGTACAGACAAGGCCTTGGAGGCAGTTTTCACAATGTGTTAAGGAAAATGCTTGTGCACTAAGAACTGGCTTTTCTCACAGATGCCAGGGTCTCTAAAACTGCAACCGCTGAACCCCTTGAAGGGGAAATGGACTCAGGCCTTCCACACCTTAAAACAATGCTTCCACTCTGCAACAACAGCAGTGCCACAGGACGGGTCCAGTAGCATGCATCACCCCCTTCGCCCTGTGTCTTCCACCTACACCTTGTGTCTACACACCACTTGTTTCAACTACTGGTGTCCCTTTGCCTTTGGGCACGAGAACAGAACACTTTGCGCAACAGAGTGGCACCACAAAGTCTCTCTCCAGCTAGAAGCTGGAATAAAGCAGAAAACAAAACAGCCAAAGCAACATTCCAAGTCAGATTTTTTGCTTCACTCCCAGCTGGAACGTGTTGTTCTGCCTCTCTTTGAAAGGAAG